TGATCCTTACATTTACTATATCCGCTTATGGAATATTGAAAATTGATCCTTGGAACCTAACCAGACATGTCCTGCAAAGAACGTCGTTGTTTATTATTGCGTCATTGCGCAGTGAAAATATGTTGTGAATAACTACTGTTTATTTTTGAGGCTGTTATTTAAGGTAACCTAATTACACCGACAAAAGCTGATATTTTTTTTTGTTGAAAGACAATGATGTTCTGCCTGAGTGGCAGAAAAACGAGTCTGAAGCATACTCAACGAGCGGGAATCTGATGTAACATTATGACCTTGGATCATATTCCTTTGTTGTTAACTTCTGAATTAAAAAGCATTGGCTCAACTTCTCGTTTCTGCAACCTTACCAAGACTACTGCTCGCCAACTACTCCCAAATGTTTAGGTCGTGTAGTACAATGCATATGGAAATACCTTCCATTGAAGCTGCGGGCTTTGTAGCGCGGCGGTTGGCACGTTCAAATTTCGCGCGCTTTGACGCTGACTAGTGCTCTCTCTGTCGCCATCTTAGCTAACGACACTACCTTTCACTGCGCTCCTCGCTTTGAGCATGCGCACCCAAACAAACTCAGTCGTTAGCTGGGAGGAATCTCCGATACTCCGATGCTTTACCAGTCCCTGTCTGTAGTATAGTGAGTGCGTTTTCAATAATTTTTTCATCGTTTTCTCATGGTTTTTCATTGTTTTTCATCAACTGTTTAATTGTTCTCTCAAAAATTTTCCCTTTGCTTGTGTGCGTGTGTGTGTGTATGTGTGTGTGTGTGTGCGTACGTGCGTGCATGCGTGCATGCGTGCCTACAGTGTGCCGTGTGCCCTGTGGACAAGCGGGTGTCCATCCCGCGTAAGTTTCTCCTGGTAGCCTGACGTGCTGTTATATGAATTTTGTGTGAGGATAGCGCGGATCGACCGGTCACCCCAGGCAGAGGGTAATGGGGCAGAGGTCAGAGGCTGGCGAAAAAATTCCGCTGCTAACAAATTACGTGGGCCCAACGACAGACTAGTATTACAATTTGCTGTTAGTTCCGACTAGATAACGTCGGGCAATTGGCGCTTGCGGTTTTCGTGAACGGTAGCTAGCGCCTTTCTTTAACGAGCTCCGTTAGCTACCGCTGCTTCACTATCGGGCTAATAATGCTTCAGAGTGGCAGCAGCAGCAGCAGCAGCAGCAGCAGAAGAGTCTATTTATTAGAGTCGTCATTATTGCAGCAGCCGGGCTAGGCTGAGCCGAATGTTCTCTCAGCAGCTGATTGATGGTTATTTGCTTGATCGTCAAAGCTGTTGATCCGCTGCGGACCCTACTATTGCCCGTACTACTGATTGTGTCGTTCGTTGTTACTTATCTATGTTGTCGTTGTTCGGTGTGTGCCGTTCATTGTTCACCACTGGCCGCCGCGCTTAAATAAATGAACGAAGGGTCGAGCTCCGCTGCTGCTGTGGCAGCGACGGCTTTCGGCCCGTGTTTTTTCTCGTGATGATACTAATGCTGATGATAATGATGCTGCCGCTGGTGATGATGCCGATGTAAGAGAAGTTTACACATATTCATTTGTGTGTGATAAATGTTCTTTTTCTTGTAGCTTTAAAGCATTTATTATTACATATGTGTCTGTTTATTTGAAAGAAGGAACACGATCATTAGTCGAAACGAGTGTCTGAGCACAGTTTGCCGTCACTGCAGTGACCTCTACAATTGCAACTGCTACCTGTAAATAGGGCTACGGTCGATTGTCGTCTGCACCAACAACTACTCGTTAAAACTACAACAACCTATTCTATAGCACATTAACGTATTGCTCGTTGACTAGCGCTATTCGTTGGCCCCGATGATGACCCGCATTGGGGACTAAGTTCTGCGTTTTTCTCCGACCTATAAGCCATGCTGGTGGTATGGTGATATTGATAGTGCTATAATGTTACGATCAGTTTGTGTGTGAACGCCGACGGAGCGTAGTGGTTTGTGTGTCTTCCTGTCCTATGGCGCGTGCTGGTGAGCTGTAGGCAGGCTTCCCCATTCACCAGGCCTGCTCTGTGGGTGTAGGCGCAAGAGGCTACGGCGGGGCTGGCTACGTAATGCTTCGTTACCTGGTTCACAAAGAGCAGTCCTACGGTGTGCTGTTTTCCCTACCAAGCTCGATTGAGCGATGTTTCTGTTGATGTGTGTATAGTGTGTGTGTCTTCGTGTGTGTGTGTGTGAGCGTCTGTGTGTGAGCGTGTGTGTGTGAGCGTGTGTATATGTATGTGTGCTTCTATTTGCGTGAGTGCGTCTTGCCACGGGCTCCTGCGTTGGTAGCACGTTGACGACGAGGCTCCGCTCCACTCCTGATTCCCATGATGCGCCGTCATCGTGGAGAAGGAGGAGTACAAGCGACAGCAGCAGCATCAGCAGTTGTGGAGGAACTCCACAGCATAACTTTCTATCCGCTGTCGTGGTCGTTGCTGTTGTTACTATTATGTACTACCATTGCAGTGAGTGCGGTATCGCGTTTGTGACTTTGGCCTACAGTGAGTGACAAGTACGTCAGCGTTGTGGCGCGCCGCAGTGCATCGTTGTTTCGATTTAGCGCTCACGTTAAACAACAGTCGTACTGGCTCGATGGTGATCTACGATGATATCTCAATCTCGTTCTTTCCACAAGCCGTTGTAAAGAATACACACACGTGCACGCACACGCACGCACGCACGCACGCGCTACAGTTGGTCTAGCGAGTTAATGGCGATATGTAAGGACAACAGGAGACAACAGCAGTGATGTGAGCTAATGGATCTAAGGGGAAAGTGCGAGTAGAGGAATGAAGAATGCAGCGAGATAAACCTGCCTATCTGTTCATTGCTGTTATCGATATCTATTTGTGTATCGCGTCTCCTTTTCAGTGGCTGTGTTATCCAATACTGTTCCCTTCGGGAGCGGCGGCAGCGGTACAAAGGTGATTGTGTGCAGTATTCTGTCTCCGTTCACATTATTTTTATTCGAAATCGTGGTATTGTGATTCGTGTTACTGCTCCTGCTACCATTGCAATTTCTGAGTGCTTCTCTACGAGCGTCAGCAATGCGCGTTGTTAACGTGAAAATCGGCGTGTGCATTTGTGATGCGAAAGCGTACGCCGTCCGGTTCAATTGTGTACCATTTTCTCCGTTTGTGCAAAAAGAAAGACGAGTAACGACGTTAAAAAGTACTGGTTAGATGATTCTTCGATTATACCTAATTATAATATGCCCTAATGCATAATCCTTATTTGTCTCTTTGGCGTAATTTTTTACAACGACGAAAAGCGGCATAGCGGTAGTTGCATGCAATGACAACGACGTTCTGTCGAATCCGTTGCAATACGTCAACGATAGCGATGATGGTGCAGTGCACTCGTTGCTTGCATCGGTGAGCCATTTCAAATACGCGCCACGATAGATGTTCCTTGTGCGCTATCTGCAGCCGCTGATGCCGTTACCGTCGCTCCCGTTGCAGACTAGTTCCGAGAGGGAACACAGTTTGTACAACTTGATGTTGGATGAAAACGTTAGATGTCTGGAATGGCGATGAAAGAGGCACGGGAAGCGGTCTGAGTGAGTAGTAAGATGGCAGCTTTTCGTGCCCCCTCGTTTTCTTGGCTGAGAAAATGAGCCGAGGTACTGCTACCACTTAAGCCGGATCTCCGACTTCGATTTGCGACGCTCGTCCAAGATAATTTCTTGGTTCGTATCCGAACGCTACTACCATTTCGCTGTCGTTGTCGCTGCTGCTGCCGTCGCCATCGTCATTCACCAGGGGACAGGGGCAGCTTGGTGCTGCAGTGCGGCTGCCGGAGGGCGAGGGCGACCATGTTTTCCCTCTGTGAACACTGATCGTTGTATAGTAGAGTAACTCGTTGGTAGACAGAGTCACTAGCTGCCTTGTGTGGCGTTGTGTAGCCGGCTGCTGCCGATGGTCGTCGCGATGGCTGCTATTCACTACCGCCAGGTTCTCTGCCTGTCTGCCATTCAGTCTGCTCCTGTTGCCCCTTCACTTCTTCATTCACTCCGCACCGCACCTCCGATAATACACAAAGGTAGCAGCGGCGACGGTGATGGTAGTTCACCAGGTAACCCCCTCAACCTCGGCTTTCCCCTAGTTTCCGCACAATACCCGTCCTCCCACTGTATTCCTGCCTTTTGCCGCCATCGCACTCTTGTCCCTATCAGCCTCTTTCCCCCTTTCACAAGAGCACCATCGCCAGCAGGGTTTCCTCTAGTCCACGACGAACTTCTCCTTGATATGTGACGCGTCTCTCCTCTTTCTCGCGTTCCTCTTCCCTCTCCCGCGTGACTTCTTCTTTTTGAACCGACTCTAATTCCTCCCAGATCTCGCGCGCAGCCAAAGCCTTCTCCAGCTGCAGTTTCGCGCTCCATCTCGCGCTCCACTAGTGCTAGCACCACCACCAACACTAGGCCCCCCTTTCCCTCCTTCCTCCTGCTGTCCGCTACACCGGCGGCGACATAGCGGTCAGCACGCCGCCTGTGGGGTTCTTGAGGCAGGCACGCTGATGTGGACTCCAGAACTCGAGTAGAGTAGAATAAGCTTCTCTGGCGAAGTGAAGTGGAATAACGGCAAGCTGTCTAGCTGCTAGCTGGCTGACACAGGATATACGTCGGTGGCTGAACGCGGTTGGGCTACTTTGCTTCGTTGCTGGTTCGCTTACACAGCTCCGCTCCCAGGGGTTAGTCGAAGGAGGCGAAGGGCCGCCAAGTGAAGAAACGTAGTACACAGAGTAAAGGAAGTAGTAGGATGGGAGGGCCAGAGGAAAAGTTAGGGCATACAAGCAGACGAATGGGGTGGCTCTTAGAGCGCCTCCTGCTGAGGATTCTGCCGGGGCGAAAGGGGTTCTTAAGGGGTCGCGCGGAGCTGGTCTGAGAGGATGGTTTGGGGGGGGTAGTCGTGATCGGAAGGATGGGGGAAAAACTCGTCGTGGTGATGGGCGGTAGAGTGGGAGAGGGTTCGGCAGAGGAAGCGAAGACACCACCAGAGGCCGTGCGGCGCTGCTGCCGCGGCGGCGGCGGCGGTGGTAGCAGTAGCCGCGGCTGCCTCCGCTGCTTTCGTTGGCGCCGCCGTTGCTACTGCTCTGCCATCGCTTTGGTCTCCCGAGGCGCAGCAGCAAGAGCGCAGCCGCTCGAGCAGCACAGCCGCGCCAGTCAGATAGCCTGGACCTCTGCCTCTGGGCCTGTTACCCCACCAACTATCCAAACCGACCAACACCGACCGAGCCTGATGTAACCACTACAACTACCGCCATACCGTCACCGACTGTCGACTGATGACCGTCGATCGTCGACGCAACAAAAAAAAGTACTGAACTCAATCCTACCAAGCTCACCGCCGGTCAACCATCCGACGGATGTTCCGCCGGACAAACTCCAGTCTCTTTTAATTCCCTCAAGTTCCGTTCGTTATTCGTCCAGTGTCTGTTTGGCGTTTCGTCGTTCGCTCAATATTCAGTGGTGGCCTCAATAACATCAACATCATTTTGTGTGTGGGAGTGCGTCTTTCTCGAAGTGTAATTGTGTGAGAGTGCAGCAGCTGCATGCAATGGACGGTAGCGTGCGCCAGAACCAGTAATAGCAGAAGCAACAGGAGCAGCAGCATCTCACCAGCGTACCGCTCTTCTCTTGCTTTTTTCTGCTGGTACTAGTTTCGCCTGACGTCGGCCGTCTCGCGCCGCCTTTCACACCGTCAACGTTAACAACAGCAGCAGCAGCCACGGCAACGGCAGCGGCAAAATCGTAAAGCGTGCTAGAAGTAGCGGCAATAACAAGCCGATATCAATCCGAGTAAAGCTATTTTAATTAGTTATTGAACATACATAGAGAATGGAATTACTTCCGTAAAGACCGGAACTGCTTTCTAGAATCTCTTCGTTATATTGATCATCTCTTTGGAGTGGCTTACTTTGCCGGTCGTGCACGTCGATCTATGTCCGACAGGGGTACAGCCAGCGTACGCTTCGCGACGAACAACCTGTTCAATGTTTGAGGTGTGAAGCGTGAATCGCATGGTTGTCTGAGCCCAATTCCGTGGGTTACGTTCATCTCCAGTAGTTCATTCAGCCCTATTACGCATTTTAAGTTAAGGCTCCGTCTGGACATTCCCTGGCTATTAACAGAACTTGCTCAATTTCTTGAATGGACTATTGCAATCAATTGTCTCGTATTAGTAATTATCATATGGCTTCTCGGCCCTGTGTGTGCAGACCGTTTTTTTCTTTGCGACACGGTATCGACAAACATTTGTTGACTATGTATAGTAGCAACCTTTACAGAATAATTAATTAGCTTTCAACAGATAATCGTACCTGGATCCATTTGATTCATAGGACCATCTGATCGACAAATACTCCGCCTATTATTGTGATCCGCACTGAATCACCGCAGATCCAGTGGTATTCTCCATTTCACGGTGGTGAGCCAAGCTAATAATTATAATAGTAATAGTCATAGTACCCAGTGATGCAAAATCTGTCGAATCCAATACTCTCCCACCTCGCTTTATCGTCCTTATCGTATATACTAAACCTTCCCTCCCGCCTGTCCCTGTCTCCTCGTCCGCACAAACATTCAAAAACGTCAAAGGCAGACAACAGCAACAGCCGCGTACTGCGACGCACTTTCAGTAGCTCAAAGTGGTCGCCGTTGTTTTGTCTTGTTTTTAGTGGGCCGTGGGGCACCACTAAAAGCAATAAAAGCCTCGGAGCGGTGCAAGGGTGCGCAACTGGTGAGTCTGCTCCGGTGGAGCCGGCGCACACCGCAGAAAGCTGTTGCCGCCGCCGCTGCTGCTGCTGTCGCCGCCGCCGCCGCCGCCGCCGCCGCTGCTGCTGCTGCTGCTGCTGCTGTCGCCGCCGCTGCCGCTGCTGCTGTCACCGCCGCCGCTGCTAGTGCTGTCGACTGACTCTGGAGCCGTTTTGCGGCTCCTAGAGCCTAACAACGTTTTCTGTCATCGCAGTAAAAGAATCGGGCGACCCCTTTGTTACTGCTGACACCGCCTGCTCCGTAGCGGCGGAAAGCTGCCACAGGAGCTACTGTGGCCGTACTGAACACGCGCCTACTGCTCTGCTGCGGCAGGCCGGTCCAGCCCGCAGTAGCCATTCTGCGCGATGATGCTGTACTCGCAGAATCCGCGTGGCTCCGGCGTCGATAAGCATATTCCAAGCTGCAGTTGGCGTAACTAGGTTGGCAAAATATTCATATCGATAAAAAAGGTTCTTTGTGACGATTCACCTGACGTGCGGCAGCGACATGACATTGGGAAAGGTGTATGATGATACCGGCCTATATGTTGCTCGTTTGCTATACACGCTGTTTATGTAAAGTGATGCAACCGCTATAAGGCCCAAAGCAGGCGCTGTTCAAGAGTGACATTTAAACCTTTCTTAAGAAATAACTCTGAAGCTTTTGAAATGTTTATATTTCAAAAGCTTCAGAGTTATTTTTGACTTTGGGATGTTTGTCCTTAATGTGTTTAGCAATATAATGTGCTTAAATGCTTTTCCGTATGCTAACTAGTTTTCCTTGTACGGAAATTATCAGCAGAAAATGGATGCTATGTGCACCCGCGGACTAAATAAAGTCTTTACAGGCTGAATATATATATGCTTGTATCTCCGCGTGTAGATTAACACTTTCTATGGGCAACATTGCATACTGAATATATGTGTATGCACCTGAAAATACTCCTAGTGACGGCAAGTTATACGCGTGTGCTCGCGTGCGACTCTTGCCGTCAACCAGCAGACTGAAGTGCACGCCCGAAGTTGGTAAGCGAGTCGAGGCAAACATGAATGCTTATAAGAGCTTCCGTCAGCTTTCGCCAATTCGCTGAATTAGTCGATGTTTCTCGCAGCTCTGCTGCCCGACAGTCCTTATCCGCCAGCTCTCAAGTTCGTGGCCCCAACGCATGCTGCAGCAGATTTAGTATCGCATTCCGGATGTTCAGGTGTTTTAATGCTCTTCCAGGCCCACTAATGTGTATTGGTTTATCAAAACATTTTTAGGTAGAATGCGGTCTCTTATTTTTGGTTGCATCATTTGTGGTCGTTCTTGGCGAGCGCTCACTGTCTCATTGTCCACCGGCTGGTCGTTCCCGTTGTCTGTGATATAATTTTGAAGCAGCAGATCTCTGTTGCTGAAAATAGAGATGATCAATACGAGAGGATTATACTGTCTTTTCTAACGAGAAGACAATGGCCCATGTACAACAAGGTAGTATCAGCAACGGCAACAGTATAGACTCAGCCAAGACGAGCTTTATGAAAATGCTTACGTGATCAGATATATTCTGCCCCACCATGCCGAACAATCATTTTACCTGCTGCCCGCTGCAGAGTACGCCGCCGCCATCAGACGATAACCGCCAGAAGTCATCAGTAGCCGTGGTAGCCGCAATGCGCGTTCAACATGAGCGGAAACGACCGCCGGGCCCCAGTCACCTTAAACTAGAACCTTATGAAGCCCAGCTGATGAGACTGAGATAGAGAGAGACTACTGAGGATATCTTGCTCAGGAATCTTTTAGGTTTTCTCTCTGTATGTCCTACCGGCATCCGTGGAGAATCAAGCAAATACACCAGTTCATAGAACAGCCTATTCTGTGGCCTCCGTTTCTGCTAGCCGCTATCGCTTGTACAGGTCGTATGGGAGCGTCGTCGAGTCGACATCTAATATGTCCTTTCCGGTGCGTACAGAATCTAAGCGACCAGCGTTACTACGTTTCGTTTGCATTGCCACTGACTGCCGTATTGCCACCAGGTCATCGTCTCTTCTCGAGGCGACCAAGGGAAACGCAACCGCGAAACAAATGGTTACAATGGCAACTAACAGCTATTGCAGCAACACTGTAACTATGCGCTAGGGGGAATCATAGTTGATTCTAGTCCCTTCTTGTCTGCTCTAGTAGGTTGCCGTTTTACGACACTCTCATTCGACTACCGATAACGGCCCTCCGACAATAAAGCGGCCAGTGGCTGGACTTTCTCAAACTTTTGAGGCCGCTTAGAGGGAAACTTTATGCCTGCTAATATCAATAGCCTGTCTATGTGAATTATAGTGTTTTCTGGCCGGCTTCTTCCTTTCTGTCCATCTAAGGGTCCGGCCGTTCAGTTTGTTCATTCCCACACTTGCCACTTGCTTGTTCCAGTCTTCTATCAAAGTCAGCATCAGAAGCATCGGTGTCGTCAGGCTAGCAGCTAGGCTACAAGAGTTCCCATGACAGAGCGTGCGAGCTTTCCAGCCCAGCTTGCCTGCTGGCTGTTGTTGCAATCTGGTTAGGCGATTGCGCTACTGGCGGCCTTTTCGACGAGGCCGGTGCCGTCATTACTGCCGCCCCAGGAAATGTCGTTATACTTCGGCGTACGCTGCACCGGCAGTGGTGAAAGAGTGTAGTTGAAAGACGATGGCAACGACAACGACTTCGAAACCCGTTCACTTGCGCCGTTGTTGCGAAAAAAATAACGGTAGAGAAAGAAATGTATCGCGCGACCATTGCAGCGACCTACTGCAGGCCAATTTCCCAGCAACAACAGTAGCGGCGAATCTATCGCGTGGCATGTCTACTAATCTTAGTCTATCAGCAATATGCAGTGGTCGCCACTGCCTTGTCCCTTGACGATCATCGGCCGCTTCCGCTGCATGTCTTGATGCCTCGACCCAAGACACAGCAGCAGCAGCAGCAACAGCAAGCACTAAATGGTGTTGTGCCGCTGCCCGTCGTTGGTCGCAGGGCGTACGGTGCGCGGTGGCTACATCTACTAGTAGCTAGGTTAGATAGTCATACACAGGTTCTTCAGAAGCATGAACACTAGCGTGTGTCTGTGTGTGACAACAGCTGTGGCATTAGTTCCAAAGCTACGACGACTAGAATGAGTCGGTAATGGCAGTGATTCTGTTTTGCAAATGCTGCTGCTGCTGCTGAAGCTGCTGCCATTGGTAGTATCGCTGCCACAGCACTGGGGATGATCGCCGCCATTAGCATGACAACGGCGACGGTGAACTTACTGCTCCGCATGATCCGAACATGTTGTTTTCTACGTTTGTGAGAGCGTGGCTGCCTGCCTGCCTTTGCGTCGGAGTGTGTGTGTATTAGATTCGTGTTTTGGCGCAGCGGCTGGTCACACTATAGTGCCGCGACGCACCACATATGTTTGTTATTCGCGGTCCTCTGTAAGCTGGCTATTGAGTAACAAACAAGGCCGTCACCACTATCGCCACCACGTAACGCGACGACGAAAGGTGTTAGGTTCACAGTCCGCGCGTTGTTGTCCAGTTACGACTACACGCGCGCGCATGTTGTCTCTCGTTGTGTGCCTGTTCGATGTGTGGACGTCGTTTTCATCTGATTTTTGTTTCTCTCTCCCTCTTTCTCTACACTTATTGTCATCATTATTGTCTGCCACGGTCGGATTCGTGTGTTCACAACTTTTTACGCTCTTTGTGCCTGTGCGTTATTACAGCTCACCTGCGTAGCTTGCTCTCATCATCCTGAGGTTCGGGTTCCCAACCCCTTCCCCGCCCCACGCTACTAAACTCATATTTGTCCCGTTCAACCGAAATAAAGATATCAGCAGCAGCAACAACAAGCATTGCAGCGACCGCAGCGTCTATAACTGCAATAGCATCGAAGCTATCAAGGTTCATTTTCATCACTTCTGATCGTTGTTGTTGATATTGTGGTGCGCCAGAGAAAAAACGAAGTTGGCCCAACGTTCCGCGCGACGTGCAGTTGCAGAGACATACTTGAGAAAGGGGGGCAACTTCCGGGCAAAGGCAACAGCGAAGAAGACGACAACGACGACGACGAAGCAACAATAGCAGCAGCGGTAGCGGGCGGAATTCGTTCTAACGAGTCCAATCTCAATCTCAAAACGGACCACGACGAAGTTCGGCCGGCCGATAGACAACACGGCGCCGGTCGTCCCCTTCCCCTCCCCCAATTTTTGTCTCACTCTCGTTCTGAACGAAGATCAGTGACTGTATAACTCGCTACTTGTACCGGAGAACGGACAAACATTACAGGCATCTTAGCGGACTCGTGCAAAAGCCCGCTGCAGTCCATGCAGCGCGTGCAGCTCAATCTGAAACTTAACGTTAACTATATCAACGTCCATTTCAACTCAGGTAGAAAAAAAGAGCACCAGAAAGAAGCGAAACGGTCTCGTGTTTTAACAGCGCCTTACGCCTTGATTATATTTGATTAGCAGCGTCGTACGGCGACCACTATAACAACTACGGTACATCTACTTCATCCAGAGGCAGGCAGCACAAATCAGCCAAGAAATTCTGGCCCTAAGCGTAGTATGCCACTTCTCTGACCTGCTTCTTTGGTTATCAACCTCGTACAGACGTGACGGGCCGAGTCAAACGACTGACTAGTTTCGTGGTACGAACCACAGCAGTCACCGCCACTGCATCAACGACCTGCACAATTGTACCATTTTATTACCAGGTTCATCGACGCAAGCAGGGTTAACACCGCGCAACAATCGTATGCGCGAGAATTGACTGCACGAAATCATCATCAACAACTACAATCATAATGAAAGCTTCATCGTAACTACGGTTATCGTAATAACAGTAATAGGGACAGCAGTGTACTAGCCACAGTTACTACGGCAACGTGTACCATAACCTACTTCATCTTTTGTTTGTAGCAGCTTCCGTTTCGCCCATTCACAACCACACAGTGATAAACGTATACTGACACACAGTCATTAATCGTCTCACACAAACACATAAACATTGTCGTTGTGTTTTAAGCAAGCAAGCAAACAAACCGCTACGGGTCCTGCGACGCCACTGCAACTCATCTACGAACAATCCCCCCTGTCAGAGAATAGCGTCACATCTATCAAACGTCGTGCCGACAGGATATCACTGCAAGCAAAACAGTTAGCCCTCTATCCACGGCGGAGTTCCTGCGGCCCCGACAAACATCGACAGTACGAAGAATACTATAATAATTACAATCACATAACCGACAGCATTGAAAAAATCGCCGATTATCGACAGCAAGCTCGAACCAGCCAATATCATTGTTACCACCGCTAACAACAAGGCTGTCAATTACGAGATTTTAGCAGTCACTTAGGTGGTAGCAACAGCTCATTCAAGTGCGGCCTGAGCGTTTTTGTTGTCGTTGTTGTGCTTTTCGTAAATTTCCCTCTTTGTCTCTTCCTCGATCACGGAGCGAATTAGTGACGGAACAGCCGAGCAGCGACGAGTCTCAATTAGTCCACCCTCGATCTAGCGAGAGCAACGGCAACAACCTGAACGGCAGCGTCGAAAGGCGACAATAGCCGCAACAGGAGCAGCAGTATTACACACCAGGCGCACGGAGCGGACAACAAAAACCTCGTCTGAAGGTGACGCACTCCGCCGTACAACAACAGAACAGCAATGGACACCTCTGTTAACACACCACCGGTCACGCTGACCGTCCGCATGATCATGCAAGGCAAGGAGGTCGGCAGCATCATCGGCAAAAAGGTGAGCGAGAAAAAAAGAGACACATGTGCATGTTAGCTCCGATTTAATTAGTTATGTTCATTGTTACTGTCGTTGTTCAGGGGCTTCCCTCATTTGTCATCGTTGCGTATTATGTCAATGGCAACAAACGACAACGGAAGCATCGTTTCGAATCTATAAAGCAGAGGGATCATCATACACAGGGCGTATTGGCAAAAAACAACAAATGTCCATTGGAGCTGTTAGTATAGGACACTGAACCCGAAACATCGAATTTGCCAAGCAACAAACCGAGTGTTTGATAAATACAAAACCACAACGCCGTACAATCAACAGACTTTTATACTGTGATGCACTTATGTATACATTGTGTAAGTGCAGATGTCGTTTTGCTGGTCCAGCTTAGTTGAGCCTTTCATGAATCAGCGGTATAATCTACTATGATATGGAATAGCGGCTGATATCGCCGAGTAGTCATGGGGTTTTTATGTTGTAAGGCCGTCCAGGTGTCTTCTCTCCTCTGACATTTTCGATGGCCTCAACTATTGTTATTTCGTTAGCTCGCAGTCTAGTTTTTCAGTTGATAACTAAGTCAACGGTCCGGTTGACGATAAAAAAAAGTATACTTGAAATAATAAGTATACTTTTTATCTTCGCATTGATTCCACTAGAAGGCGAAACTAGCATTTGGTTTCTTTTTTACCCTTTCTTACTACTTGTCTCTCGCTCCCCCTTTTATTTAACCCTCTTTCGGCGTGTAGTCTTTTTTCTTTTTTTGGCTTTGCCTGTACCCCTTGGGAGCTTGGCTAGAAAAACGCCGAAGTAAAACTTGATAATAGGCCCATATTCGGTTGTACCGTACTACTCTCACATCACTACACGCAAACCAGTCTCATGACTGAGATCCTTTCGCTCCCCGCTTCTGCTGGAGAAAGATACCTTGGACTTATTCTCCCATTAGGCCAAGCAGATTTTTTGGCTAGGCGAAATTTGTCCTCGTTAGTGCCCTTTGCAAGTCGACCTGCCTGCCTGCTTGAGTCTGCTGGCGTCAACCAACCGACAGAAGAGGTAAGCTATCTAGCAACTACCAAAGCTAGCTCCGTGCCTGCCTTCATTGCACGAAAGTGGAAAGGCTTTACAAAATGGCTCGTCTGTAAAAATGCGCTTATAAAAATTGAATGAGGAGAACTCCTTTTCGATAACAGACTCTAGCTTCTCTTAAATTACGTATATATTAAACTTTATTGTCCAGATGTTTTCATTTCTGAGATTGGAGCACAAATACTGATACCCGCCCCTTGCATTTCAATGTATAGTTTCAATGTATAGAGTAGCACTCTGTAAATTAAATATTTACATCATTTAGCCGCCTGCAAGTGGCCGTGGATGTTGTTGCTGCTGCTGCTGTTGTCGTCGAGCTTAGGCTATATTCAATCGCACCTCTATCCAGCACTGATTATCTCCGCTGACGAAACACCAGCGGCAGCAGTAGCGCTATGGATCGAAGGCTGTAGAAGTCGCTACCGCGGCATTAGCTTCGAACGAGCGATTGGTTCATTAGCAATGACTCCGTGATATTTCTACGACTGTTGCTGCTGCTGTTGATGGTGTCTACGGGTGCCGATATAGACCAAATACGGAGAAGAGCACTGTGACAAGGCAACATCGTTCAGGGTCGCCTCCAGGTCCAAATGGCGTTTTTCGCCTACTCCTCACAACATAAATGCGCTGGCTTACTGATTGAATAGCCAATAAATAGTGGAAGAGAAGAGGCGTCGAGGGCGCGGCCAGTGGGGTGTAAAAGGTCGGGAACGGAGCAGGGGATTGCAAGCACTCCGAAACGGGTTCGTCCGAGACGACGAAGTCGTGCCCAATGGTCGGTGTTCGCCCTGCATGGGCGTTGGCTGCATTTGCTAGTATTGTCAACCGAGTCCGTCCAACGCCACTGCTGTGCAGACTGTGCCAATGTTTGATGGAAGAATTTTCCTCTGCATAAGAGACAAGCGAGCAGTTTCTTTTGCGTTAGAAGATTTGTAGTGGTATGCAAAAGTAGATTACGCAGGCTCTGCTGGTCATAGGAAGAATTCTCTCTCGGTCTGATTGATATAGCGATAGTGACTTACTTGTTCCAAGCGATCAACATAATGCGTACACGCTGAAGGACTAGGTGGCAGACCACTGCACGATGGAGAAATACGTGGGCTCGAGTTCCGAAACGATGCTGTCTGTGTCAAATTAAATTTTACTTGCGCAGACAAAACAAGGCAGTAGCAATATTAAGGTGAACTTGTACTAAGCTCGAGGCTTTAAGCGCAGCATATTATCATTCCTTGAATTTATCTGTAACGCTGACAGAATATATTCCGGTCTTCCTGGCAATCATAGTCTAATATTATTAGTTGACGCTGTGTCCTCCACGTAGTTTTAAAAGTATCTTCTATGCCCGATACATTTAACATTGCCACTGTGTCTAGGACGTTCTTTTGTCATGACCGACCCCGATTTTTGTCGGATCTCATTGCTCTTTTGGATTAATTAAGGATCCTACCTCAGATAACGATAAGACACTCTGATTTACTGCACCGTCATCAATATTACCTGTTGTTCCCTTCCGGACTTGAACCAATGTTTCCGAACTACATCAAAATTAGCACACTGGGATTAATGGGATCAGTTGAGCTTGTTGCCGACTGAACCGTTCTGGCTACTTTGGAATCAGTTGGATATTACTCGCAGAGCAATCAGTCAGTTAGCAAACATCGACAAGAGTAGCACAGGGGCGCAGGTTAAAGCTCAGTAGAATCAGCTCTCATCACTAGTGTCGAATAAAAGATCCATATTTACCTTCTTCTTCCTTTACTACACGCATCCAAAACCTTTTGATTGCCTCGCTTGTCCCGTCGTTGCTTGGCTTGCATGGCGGGCCAGCCATCAGCCACCCTCGGGCTGTTTGGCCAGACAGTAGTTTCGCAGTTACTTCAGCACTGCAGCTAATGATGTAAATGTTCGAGTTTAGCCCTAGATCGGCAAACTTGTTTGGCAAAACTCTCCAAAGCTGTGTGCGCGTAGTAACCCACCTTCCTTTCCTACGGAGGCTCTTCAACCCTCCGACGTCTGTCTGTCCATCCAGCCAGCCAGTTAGTTGTCCGTTGGAAAACCACGCTTGCATTGCTAGCCACGCAGTCTCACTTTTTGCGTCCATATTGATGTACAGTGATGATCCTGGCCATCGTCGCGGTTGTTGTCATGCTACCAAAGGCTTTTCGGCAGTGTTTATCTAAATTTCGGCGACCCCCCCACCACCCCTGAACCGGTAACTGGATGGTTTGGTGTTTTTTTAGCTGTTCGTTGCGAAGTTGCGAGGCCGCGGTGTTAGCCGATCTGCCAGCGAAGCGAGCAGTGTGAGTGTAGTCTTCGTGGTCGATGTTCGGCGACTTTTTTTTGCCGCTTTTGTTAGCAAGGATCATAAAAAGTATTCCTGCCGGTACCACGGCGGCAATTGTTACGGCTGTGAGCAGTACTAGTTCTGCTGGAGCGTCTTGCTACCCTTTTACAACTTGTACGTGCGTAGGTATTAGTAGTTAGGCTCGTCGTAGCATACGCCTTTTTGCTGCTCCTACACGTCTGATTCGTTCGTTCGCCGTTGTCCGTTCGGTTGTACGAGACGACCAACGACGATGACGACGAGACCCGTACAGAACGATCGCACTTAGATAGCTCTCGCATGCTCCCCCAGCCCCGCTACCAAACTCTGAGAAGGTGTACAAGAGGTCCCGAGAAAAACTGAACTTTAGGTTCCCTCCACTCTACCTACAATACGGACCAATCTCCGAGACTGAACCGGCGATGTTTTGACCTTTGCTGGTACTGGAAGCCGTTCAGATACAGCGATCGGCAGGTATGTTCGACCAACCAATGGACTGAACTAGAATGGACCGATGAAAAAACTGGGGCAGCTGGGGTACCAAAGAGGATGTAAAAAAGACCACCACCCTACACATAAAAATTAAGAGAATCTTTGCACCGTTTACTGAGGTCTCCCCCGATCTTTTTTTGCTGCTCTGTAATTATTATTATTGTATGTCACCTTGAAATCTTGCGCGCTGGGCTGTGAGAGCTCAAACGCGAGCCATCTTCTCTTCTATCGATTCGATCTATAACGTTTGATAAACGTTGGTAAACGTCCAGTAAGCAGGATGTGTGGTGGGTTAGCACCAGAGTTGGGGAGAAAGGGGGGAGGGCAAGTGAGCGAACAAGATTCGTGGACGGTAACGTCGTTTTCCCTTTAGCTAGCATAGTTTTGAAAAAATAGAAAGCTGAGTGAGCATGGATGGGTTTCAGTGCGATTGCTTCGCGCATACTCAACTTACGACCATCTAGCACTTTCAGAGGGTGGTAGCGGGCCTAGAGCGACCAAGCTAGCTGATGGACGCCTTTAGGCTGCATGAAGAAATGATCTTGAGAACAAGTTGGTTAAGAGTGTGTGTGGACTAGTTGTTAGGGGCCTTTACACTAAGAAGTGAAGGCAGAAGTCGACGTCAGTCCTAGCGCGTCCCGCTAGAATGCCAGCAAGAGAAGTAGCTATGTGTGCCACAGTAGCAGTTGGGAGAATATCAAATGACTCCCGGATATTATATGTAAAAGCCAGAAAACAGAGGGTCCGCTACCCCGTCACTTCGAAAATAGGATGGCTAAAGTATGAGACTCGTAGAATTGCGATGTGAACGTCGAAACGCTTTCGACAGCTATGAAGGGTCTGCTAGCTTTGCTGCGCAAGGAAGCAAATAGCGAACAGTTGCACCGAAGGTGGTGGAGCGGTACTACGTTGTCAGTAATACGGTTGTGCGATGCCGTGGAGCGGCACGAGTACACGAGCACGTAGCACCGAAACGAAAGTAGCGACTTAGCCTTTCACTTCATGGAGAAAGTAAACGGCGACGATAACAGGAAGTAAGATCTTCGACGCCCACGACGGGGTACTATGTACAACTACCTAGCCACTCTCCACTGGATACCCTCAC